AATATTTATATTGAAAAAATAAATATCCACAAAGCCCGAGCTCCACGCCGGGACCGTTTAACAGGTAACATATTTTCACACCTCTCCTCGTTCCCAGTAAAGCGTGCACTTGGTGATAAACCCCGCAGCTCGGAGTCTTATCAGCCACCTCAGAGCCGGGACAGCGCATCAGGCAAAAAACTGCAGAATTTAACCCGTCACGTACCGGCCACGTTTAAGGCACACATCCGTACATGTATGTGAAGAAAAACGGCGCTCTGCGGCGCACTTACCTTTGAGTGGCCGGCTGGAGCTGCGGTGCATTCACGGAGCAGACTGTCGGGATGCTTTCAGAGGTGAAAATCTGTGCGGACGTCGCCTGATTTCTCCCTCGTCGTCTCCCTCCCTTGCAACCTCGCCCCCCTCAAGAGCAGCACTTCACGACTCGGGCTCAACATTTGGAAGATGTTCAGAATATGTCGGGCTCTGCTCCCTCTCGGAGCCACTCGACTCGTGTCGGGAAACACCGGACACCCTTCGTCCGCGCGATACCTATGGTCATCTGACAGCTAGGGGGGGTATTTAACGAGGTACCAGCCAGGTGATACACGAGGATACTAATAGAGCACAAAGCTGTTTATTGCACAGCATTGTCCACTACACATTCCTGTACATATACTGATCCACTTTAATGTCATTATTAATGTTTTTACTGCATTTAGTAAGCCTTTAAAAAAAATATGGTTTTACTTCGTTATATATCGTTGATATGTTTATATGTACTTAGTTTTTTTAATAGGCTATATTATCTTTAATCTGAGACATGCTTTTACCTTATTAAAGTATTTGTTGTTTACCTACTTTATCTACCTACTGTTTTTACCACATATCTTTTATACAAACACAAAAAATTGTCCATCATTTCCTCAAACTATTGCTTTGTTTGCTTTTTTGCCAAGAAGATGCCAGAAAAGGGAGAGCCACTTATGCCATTTGGGGTCACCACAGTAGATCATCCATCTCCATCTCACCCTATTCCAGGTATCCTCTTCTTCCATACCAAACCTCTGCATGTTCTCCTTACATCCACTCATCTTCTTGGTGGTCTTCCTCTTATATTCCTGCCTGTTGGCAGCTCTGTCTTTAAGATCCTTTATCCACTTCACCTTTCCACCTCTCTCCGTTTCCTGGTCTTGTTTTGCTTCTGATTTCTGTACCTCTTCTTTCTGCAGCATACCTCCACTTCACCGGGCTTTCCTCCACATCATCTCTCTGTAGTTAAAACCCTTCCACTCATCACCCTTGTTCTTTAAAATCAGTATCAGTACACATCTCCATTCCTCAGACATCCTCTCACCCTCCAAGGGCGTGTCAAAAATATGGTCAAAAAGTTGACTGCCCTCTCTCCTGAACATCTCCACAGGTGGACCAACCACCTTTCCACTCTTCATAGCTGCCCTCGCGTCCTCCTCACTAATCCTCTGCTCGTCCCAATTTATCTACCCCCTTCTTCATTTATGACGTCCTCACTAGTCTAAAATTACAATCAAATCTACTGAAAAACAAAAAAGTTTAACTTGAAAGTCAATTTTTGGATTTAGAAACTTCAGTCTGTGACATTTTAAACTCGGCAGTGTGGTTACAGCTGGAAAATATTTAATGTTTTTCATTCATAATGGAGACATTTTATTATTTGATACGAAGACAGACTTCAAGTTAAGGCATTAGCAGGCTAACAGTTCTAAAAATGACAAGCTACCATCTTTAAAACACCAGTGACACAGCAGTGACGGTGAGTCAGTAATCAAGCTTTGTGCATTACACAAAAAATACACATCCACATATAAAGCAAACAGACATCGATGGCGAGAACAAACACCATAAAGGCGTTGATGCAGAAGGTACATCCGCAGTCTGTCTTGTTCTCTCTGGAGGAACAGGATGGGATAAGGCCTTAATGGAGTAGATGGTGGTGGTTAATGGAGACAGAAAAAACCCCAGAAAGACACGTGGGTAGCTTCGTCATTATCTCCATTTAAAAAGGCACCATGAACTTCTTATGTAGGCCGGAAATGAGCTTTTTTCCTCTGACTACAAGGCTGTTGGATTCCATAACAGACACCATCTCCACATCTATTCTCCCATCCACCATGATTTACACAAACTCCCTCTTCAAGGTTGGTTACCTGCCAAACAGGCTGATTGAGCTGAAGCAGTTAGCACACATGGAGGGTACCAGCAGTTTAGCAGTGTTAATTTCCTGCTCTGCTTGTTTCTACATAAAAAAGAAGAATTTGAAGTAGAGGGGAGGTAGCTTTAACAGTTTCAATATGTTCGTGTGTACAAGGCAAAAGAAAAAGACTGCACAAACAAGGTTAGAAAGAAAGTTTTCACCATTCTTCCAGAAATGTCTTAAGTTAACTCCCTTTTCTGTTTGTTTCTCAGTTCATTCTCTTCGAAAGTTGTAAAATTAGCTTTAAATATTTGATGATGGACAGTCAAATAATTCACATTCTTCCAGCACTGACATCTGTAAATGACACATTTACATCAGACAATACATTCAATACAGTCTTTCACAGTCCAATAGCTAACAGGTGTTTTACTGGTCTACAGTTTTAAAGTGTATCCAGAAATGACGGACAAACCTCACAGCTAAAGATTTCATACACAGACAGTCACTGTATTTTTGCTCCGGGAGTACTAAGTCTTCTTCCTGCCCCTTCCTCTGCCACCTGCGGGTTGTACATTTGCTGTGGAAGGCGAGAGTGTGTGGGACTGAAAATCGAGTTTCTGCTGCAGGATCCCTGTGAGGATGAACTCAGCGGTGACGACAGGGAGAGATGCAGACAGAGCCGGGCGACACTGAGGCCAGTCCTCCTCGCAGGAAACCACTACAGTGTGAGGCTAAGAGCCAGAGAGGGAGACGGGGGTGACAGAAAATAGAAGAGGAATTAAAATGTAGGTAATAAACATCATAAGCAAAGACTTATTTCATGTAACGTTTGGCCAGAGAAGGGCTCTCAGCTTAACTGGCACCTTATTAGAAGAGGGCATCTTTGGTAGAAAGGTAGCTCCACTGGAGGAAATGATGTCCTTCATGTGAACTGGCTCTGGCTTAACCGATCTAGTAACATGGACCTCGTATCCCTGAGAGACAGAAAGAAGGCAAAGCATTTTGCTCTATTTTTATTTGGAATACATCCAATGGTCTATTTGCTTTTTGTCCTAGGACAGCTGGGATAGGCTCCACCGCAACCCTGAATCCGATAAGCGGAAGAAAATAGATGGATGAGTGAATCCATTTTTATTTAATCTCTTCAAGAAATTTAATAAAAGCCTCCTGGGATTGAAATTTGATATTATACATCTAATTTTAGCTGGTATTATGTTGTAACAAGGTATGCCTTTACAAGCTTCTATGAAATAGCGCAAGCTGAGAAACATAATACATGCAATATAATCAGTATATTTACAGCAAATATCAAATTACTTTCCCCTAAGCCACAGAATGATGATAAACAATCCACAGGCTGCTGTTTTGAAGATTTGAACATTGCTAACAATAAAGAGGCTCAAAACAATGCTCGAAGGGAAGTATTAAACCAGATTTAGACTGAGGATGACTCAAACGTTTATGGGCTCCTATCACGAAAACATCACGCACCACCCCTGTGCCGTCTGCTAGTGGAAATACTGTTAATGGCACACTGTCAACCTCTCACTCTAAAGAAAAATGAGTGAGTACCTTTAAGAGAGGCTGGCTGCTGGCAATCCTTAGAGACTCGTGCAAGGAGAAAGTAAACTTCTTCTCTTGCTCAGGATCCTTAACAATAAAAGAGGAGGGAGACAGGAAGCTCCCAGCTTTGCCACTCTAAAACAGACAAGAAGGGTGACTATTATCATAATATACATCTGCAATAAATTAAGAGAGAACTTTCTGACTGCAGTTTTTCAAACATACCTTTTCCAGCCAGTCTGTAGTGACGATTGGAATGCCTTTGGCCAGAGCACAAAGGAATTTGACAGTCCTGCGCACTTTGTCAGTCACAAGGCAGTTCATGTCTCCCACACCTTTAGCCATGCTGCCGCCTAAGCGCGCCAACACTTTCTCCCCTGCTTCATCCATCACCCCCGTGAACAGAACCTGTGAAAGCAAAAGCCTCAAGTCAACTTAATCTGCCATGCAGGCAAAATAGCGGTGTGAAATTAGGTATTTTTCTCAAAGAAAAGCACTGTCATGCATTTTACAGTCATGCCCCAGAGTCGATTGAAATTTCAGAACAAGCTGCAGGAGGTAAGCGGAACAATGATTTCGTGAGCTCAAAACACCTGCTCTCATCCGCACGAACAAACCAAAAATAACTTTAACCCGGCACAAATTGATTACGCAGCTCTAAGTGTGAATGCAATGCTTAGTGAAATACTTTTACTCTCAATGATTTGGATGAGTAGATACTGCTGTTATAATAGACCACTGTGCACAGAGGTTAGATGGAGGAGGTTTTGTGTTTAGTTTATTATAATGCGTCCAAATATCCAAACGTTTTGAGCAGGAGCGGGGACTTCTGAAAGCATCGATAATATGATGCTAACAAAACCACAACATGAATTTTACAATTCTATTAGGACACTGAGTAAAATGTTTATAAGACTAAAGCCTGATGAACTGCCAAAAGATTTAAACACTATATTAAACTGTAATTGTAAACATACATGTGCACTCATTTTAAATGTAATGCCAGCAGCATGTTTCAGGAAAAACTGGGAAAAAACTGGAAGAGCATGTAATGCTAGCACCACGTGGTGGACTTTCCATAAATAATAAGTTTCACTGGCTACGGCTCAGTAATATGACTGAGAGCATTGTCGAGATGCTAAGATAGTTTAGAATAGTGTTTCTTAATATGATGTCAAGTATATAAGAATACAAGTATAGGATTTGCCACTATGATTCCGATGTCTTAGGCTAGGTTTGATCAGCCTAGCTACCACCGTATGAGCGTCTCTTTCCTAAACACAACATGCGTGTTTTGCTAACACAACCACAGAGACCTTGTATGCCTGGCCTGCAGTTTGTAGTCGACCACTTGCTGCTAGGGATGCAGAGGAGGAGCGAGGACTCTTTGCCACGGGAGAGAAATTTGCAGGAGCTTGCCGCTTCCGGGATCCATTGCTGGTTGGAGTCTGGGGCTGTTATAGGGGAGAGGGTAGGTAAAGACAGGGAAAACGAAACAGGTTGAAGACAGCGAAGGGCACAGTATGGAACAGGCAAAGAAGATGGTACAACATCTTGCACCAGAAAGCAAACACCATAAAATGTAAGTGGAGGAAGTGACTGGATGACCACTAAACCACTTAATTCATTAGCAGTGATGCGGAGCAGGTTAGACTGCTCTAGAGAAAGTGGAGGAAACAGAGAGAGTAACTCATGTTGATGGTAGTTCATCAATATTGAAAAGGCTGACTCAGAGAGGAAAATGCACCATGGCCTTGAGCCAAGGTAAAAGCCTTCCTTCACAACAGAACTTCTCGACACTAATTATTTACTACTCAGCTTTCCATTTCATCTGATTTACCCTTCAATGTTAATGCATTTTTGTTTCAATCAAAACCGCATCTTTATCGTTTCCGTTTGGCCGCGTATGTTTAAAAGTGAAGCAATAGTCACCTCTGATGCCTCCAAATTTGCATCTTGATTTGTGGCGCTTAAAGATGTTCCACTTTCTTCCAGCTCCTCTTTCTTCTTTCTCGAGACCGCTGATTGTCGACCTCTGACTTTTTTCTCCACAGTCTCACCCTCCATCTTTTCTCTCTCCACCTCTGAGAGAGACTCTTTTGCGCCCTTCTTTGCCTGAGCGGTGGATGCTCTACCTCTTTTCTTCCCTTGTAAACTAACAGGAATCTCATCGTTTGTTTTGCCTTTTCCTTCTTCCTCGTCTGTTTCTGCCGTTTTTGAAGATCTTTCTTTCCTTTTGCTGCAGCTGAGATCTGCTCCAGTATTTGCCTCCAAGTCTCTTGTTGCTTTTCTTTTATCTTTAGCCTCATCATCATCATCATCATCACTGACCACAGGAGCAGCTGGTTTCTCCACAGTTTCACTCTTTACTGCTCTCTGACCTCTGCCCCTGACATTCCTTTTAGGTAGTGATTCCTCACTGGTGCATGCTTCCTCTTGCTTCAACTGGTCTTCCTCATCTGTAGCTGCACTGGCTTGTTGTCGCCCTCTAGTGGTTGTTGCCGGCTGAGAGTCCTCTTTACCATTTTTAAGGAGAGCCTCATTGGAGGACTCCTCAGCTTTCTTGCCCTTTCTTCCCCTGACAGGGCTTAAATTCTGATCACTTTGACTCTGACTAACAGAAGGGATAGACTCTGGGTCATGTTCTGTTTTCCTTGCTCTTCCTCGCTGCTTGCCTCCTCTTCCTCTGTTATGAGAGCTCACGCTGCAGCTTGAAACCACAGGGGTTAGTGAGTTGGACGAGTCAGGCTCGTGCTCTACGGCCCCTGCAGCCACAGTGGTCCTTCGATTGCTGCTTCTGGCGACAGGTTTCTGGGGTGTCTCACTGGTCTTCCTCGTCCCTCGGCCTCTCCCTCGGCCTCTGCCCTTGCTTTCCTGGGCGTGGACACTTGAAGCAGACCTCTCCGAGCTGACCGAGTTGGAGGAGTTTGAGCGTGATCTGGTACTCCTTGCTGGGAAATCGTCATTGGTTGATACAGTTGAGTCTTGGTCTGGCTCTGCTGTGCTCTGTGAAGCAATAGTTCTTCTGGTTGTTCTTCGGCCTCTTGAAGGCGTTTTGGATTTATCTTGTTCCTCTCTCTTTTCTTCCAGTTCTTTCAACTGTTTTTCTTGGGCTTCTTTTTCTTTCTCCACTTTCTCTCTCTCGAGTCTTGCTTGCAGTTGTTGCTCCCGCTCAAGCCTCTCTTCTTCTTCTCTCTTTGCAGTTTCTTTTTCTTGTTCCTTTCGTTCCCTTTCTAATCTCTCTTTTTCTTCTCTTTCTAACCTCTCCCTCTCTTCTTTTTCAATCCTTTCAGACACTATTTTCTGTTGTTCTTCCTTCTCCTTGATTTCTCTCTCTGCTCTCGCTGCATCTTCAGCCTGCAATCTTTCTTGTTCTTTATTTACTCTTCTTTCTGTTTCTAACTTCTCTTCCATGAGTTGCCTTTCTATCTCATCCTGATGCTTCTCTCTTTCATCAGTCGTCCTCCTTTCTTTATCATTTTCTTCTCTTTCTTGTATGAGATCTGCACCATCTTCCTCCTCTCTAGATTTCCCATCTTGTTGCTTTATCAAGCTCTTATTCACAGCCTGCTTGTTTCTTTCTCTTACCGGTGTTTCATCCTCTTCCTCACTATCATGTTTCTGCTGCTTCGTTATCTTTCTCCCTCTACCCCGTTTTACCATTTCCTTATTGTTGTCACCATCAGACAAAGGTTTTCCACTCCTTCCTCTAGTCTGCCACTTGGATGGTCCAGGACACGCCACCTGATCTTCCTCTTCTCTCGGTTTTGCTCTTGTCACTCTTAAATTTGGAACACAAGCTCCACTGGTTCCAGCTTCAGATTCTTCTGAAGACGATAATCCGGTTTTTGTTGTCAAGGGTAGAGTTTCAACAGGGGTAATTTTAGAATTATCGACTGGCTGTGTCTCTTCTTCAAGCTTCATCTGCTTTGCTTTTCTTTTCCGTGGACCTGGAATTGAGTCCTTATCATCACATTTACCTGTCACTACTGCCAGGGTTTCAACATCAGCACTAGTGAGGGGCTGCGTCTGCTCCTCTTCAAGTTGAAGTGGCTTTGCTTTTCTTTTCCGAGTGCATGCAATCACGTCCTCTTCATCACTTTGCTGGCCTTCATTTGAACTCAAGGGCTGAGTTTCCAGAGCAGAGACTTCAGAACTAGCAAGGGGTTGCGTCTCTTCTTCAGGCTGCAGCTGCTTTGCTTTCCTTTTTCGTGGGCCTGGCATTGAGTCTTCATCATCATCGTCACATGTAGCCA